GGGCTCAGACTGGCTCTCCTTGCTCCTCAGCTTACAGAAAGCCTATTGTGGGACCTCGTGATCATGTAAGTTAATACTTAATAAATTTCCCTTTACATATATCTATTCTATTAGTCCTGTCCCTCTAGGGAACCCTGACTAATACACTGATGTTGGTAAACATATGGTACAATGAAACTCTCATATGTTAGTAGTGAGAGTATACAACAGTCGCCACTTTCTCCTTGGCAATTTTTTTAATAAAGTTAAGCACAAGACAATCCTATAACCCAGCAATGCCATTCCTAGATATATATCCAAAAGAAAAAGCACATGTACCTCTAAAAGGGCTTCAACAATAATGTTCAAAATAGCTTTGTATTCTGAACAGCCAATAAGTGGAAATAATCCTAACATCCACCAATAGGAGAATGGGTAAACAAAATGTGGCACCTTCATGTAACAGAATATGCAGCAATAAAAACAAATGAACTACAGCTGGGTGCGGTGGTTCTTGCCTCTAATCCTAACACTTTGGGAGGCCAAGGAGGGTAAATTGCTTGAACCCAGGAGTTCCAGCCTGGGCAACATGGCAAAACCGCATCTCTACAAAAAATACAAAAATTAGCCAGGTATGGTAGCAGGTGCCTATAGTCCCAGCTACTCGGGAGACTGAGGTAGAAGGATCACCTGGATTACATAAGCCCAGGAGGTCAAGGTGCAGTGAGCTATGATCTTGCCACTACACTCCAGCCTGAGTAACAGAGTGAGACTGTCTCGAAAACAAAACAAAAAAACATATGAACTACTGATAGACATGGAAAAGAGCACATACTATGTGACTTCATTTATGTGAAATTCCAGAATAAGCAAAAGTGATTTACAGTGATAGGAAAATTTCTGGGGTGATGGAAATACATCTTGAGCGGTATTATAAGGCATAAATATGTAAAAATTCATCAAGTTGTGCATTTTACCATACACATTTAAAATTAACTTAAAAAAAAAATACTAGCTGGGGTGATTAAATAAATGAAAGAGCCAAAGTAATTTTTGTCAACAGGCAGACTAAACAAACTGGCTAGATGGCTAAACTTTCCGCTTTTCATCTACTGTGCCAGATGTGCCTAGACCTGTGATTTAGTTGGATCATCAGGACAGATTCCTTATGGCTTGGTGCTGTTTTTGTGATAGTGAGTTCTTGTGAGATGGTTATTTAAGTGTGTGGCACCTTCTCCCACCTTCTCCCTTGCCCCCAACTCTCTCTTGCTCCAGCTTTCACCATGTATACGTGCCTGCTCCCCCTTTACCTTCCACCTTGAGTAAAAGCCCCAAGGCCTCTCCAGAAGCCAAGTGATACTGGTGCCATGCTCGTACAGCCAGTACCATGAGTCAATTAAACCTCTTTTCTTTTATAAATTACCCAGTTTCAGGTATTTCCTTATAGCGATGCAAAAACAGCATAATATTAATACAACCACTGGAAGTAGGGAAAAACTATTTGAGATTTCTTCTTGCTGGCAATGGAAATGGAGCAGTGAAAAGGATCAAGCCATAATTACAGCCTGCCTTCATGCTCTCTGGATTGTAAGTGATCTGTTTAAACTCAAAGAGAGCTTTTCCTCAAAACCTTTTTTTGCATTTGCATATTTCATGTGACATCACATCCTAGTCTGTTTCTTCTTTTGTAGTTTTACTCCTCTATTTACAGTAGCGTGTTCCTTCCAAAACATGACTTTCCTTGCTGGAGAGGTTATAGGATCCTCGGCATGACCTCTCCTCTACTGCTCCAAACTTAAAAAAAAAAAAAATTTTTTTCTTGTTGACTTTTCTTCATTTTTAATTCCTCCAAATTCCATACAAACCCAACCACAGTCATTCCTAAGGGTGCTATGAAAGACCATCATGTTGCCTGCTCTGAATGTTCATCAATGGCCATGGGTGGCAAGAACTGACTGCTCTAACTAATCTACAAATGCTCCCAAAGAACGAGCTTGGCACATGTAGACTCAGATGTAAGTTGAAGAATCAAACCCCTTCAGTCTGCAATATTCTTCTATTACTGGGAATTGCTGTAAAGCAGCACAGATACTAAGCTACATTAACAAAGGAGGAAAAAGACAAGGTCTTTTTTAATTGCCAAGAACTATATTTTCTAAACAAATGCTCAGCAATTCACAAAATAAACTTACTATTCAATATAATCAGAGCAATATAAGTCTTGTCCTAGGTGGACTGACTCCTTATAATACTTAGTATATACATTATGCCAATAAGGCTTTGGATTACCTTGTCTCTTTGTTTTTCCTTCAATTTGTCCATGGATCGTTTTAGTCCTTCTTCCAGAAGGTCCATGAGGCGCACCGTTTCACCTGAACGCGTTTTAAACTTTTTCCTAAAAAATGTAAAAGCCCCAATTAGATTTTGAAACAGAATTTAAACTTAGAAATCTTTGAAAATGAAGGTTTGAGAGACCTGACCACAATCTGCAACATATGCCTGTTTCAAATCTCTAAGGTATATGTTGCCCCTGAGAACTATTAACAGAGGTCTTCATGCCAATGGTAACAATGCCTTATGCGAGCCATCAAGCAGGGAGGGTGCTGAATGAAATACTGTGCTATCAAGTGTCTTTCTTTCATCTCTCGCCCTCAACTCAAAGCATATGCTCTCGCCCTCAACAGCACTCTATATATATTTACCTTTAATACATTTCCTAATAGAGAAAGAAGATATTTGCTAATTTGTTCGCTTTCTTGGAATACAAAGTTTGGCTCAGATGTTTTACCTTTTTAGAAAAATTATTAATCAAAATACATGTGTCTAGAATTGCTTGGATATTCAACAAATTCTTTGCCAAAATCTCACTTGAATTTCTCTGTATACTAATTCCTCTTGTTCAATAATAACCAAGCCTTTATTTATACCAGAATCACCTGGCAAGGTTTTAAAAAAGATGCTTGAGCAGCCAGTTGCTTGCTTGCTTCATTCATTTATTTATTTTTAGAGACAGGGTCTTGCTTTATTTTAACCCAGGCTGAAGTGAAGTATTATGGCCATGGCTCACTGTAACCTTGAACTCCTGAGCTTAAGTAATCCTTCTGCCTTACCCTCCCAAGTAGCTAATTTTATAGGTTAGCCATCACACCTGGCTAATTTTTTAATTTTTATTTTTTGTAGAGATGGTGTCTCTCGCTATGTTGCACAGGCTCCTATCCAACTCCTGGTCTCAAGTGATCCTCCCACCTCAGCCTCTCAAAGTGTTGGGATTATAGGCAGGAGACACTGTACCTGGCCCAGTTGCACTGAAAAACAAACAAACAACAACAACAAAAAAAAACAGAAAAAAAACCCAGAATGCCAGGACCCTGTTCAGATCTACTGCAATCAAAATCACTATGGGTAGGGCAAAAGCACTAGTAAGTACTGCCCTGGACAGTTGCTGTTAAAAAGCATTTTGAAAAAACTGAATTTTACTTATTATTTGTATGAACAAAAAAGTTCATACAACACCAAGGATATAATATCATTTTTGTTAAAAATCCTTCAGACATAACAGTGAAGCAGTCCTTTTTACCCAAAGTGTACCAAAATAAATGCACTACTTTCTGTTAAAGTTTTATTTCCAGCGGTTGCCTAAGAGTTTACTTGCCCTGTAAAATTCTGCTTATACAGAATTAAAACACCTTTATTATCCCACAAATACATTATATATTTCCATAGCTTTCTTTATGCCATATACCCCTTAAGTGTCCCACTTTCCAATCTCTGATAAAACGAAACTCATCATGAAGACCAGTAAAAATACTAAAGGAAACTTTCCTTAAAGTTTCTGCTTTACAATTACTGTTCCTTTCAGTTACTCCCTACCTGTGCCTGCCTTGAATTTTTGTTTTTGGTTTGGTCTATTCTGACTAGTGGCTCTACAATGAGAGAGGAATATCTAAATAACAAGAGAGAGCTCTAAAAAAAAAAAAAAAAACACAGATGCCTAATACCCACTTTAGACCCCATAAGTCAGTAACTCCTACAGTGGGCCTTGCATGTGTATTTTCACAAGCTCCACAGGAATCTGATCTGCTCTAGATGATAGGCTCCTTCAGGGAGGAGGTCATGTTCTGTGTATCTGTGTGTACACACTGTGAAGCATCCAGCCAACAGCATGCACAGCACATGCTCAATATGCAGATGTACAAGGAATAGCAGGAAGATGAAATAAAATTATCATTCAAAAAATTAAAACAGAAAATGTCATTTAAAAATAGCAGAATCTGTATTAAAAAAAACAACAACAAACATTTTTTAAGCTCCATTCCCCTCTGTGAGCATGTTAAGATAAATATTTAAAATATGCTAAGTTGTCACTGGTTAACTATCATTTAAATTATTCTTTAAAAAAAAGCGGGGGCTGGTTCATGTCTTTAATCTCAGCACTTTGGGAGGTTGAGATAGGAGATGACATGAGCCCAGGAGTTTGAGACCAGCCTGGGCAACATAGTGAGACCCTGTCTCTATTAAAAAATGGAAAAAATTAGCCAAGTGTAGTGGTGTGCACCTGTAGTCTCAGCTACTTGGAAGGCTGAGGCAGGAGGATCATGTAAACCCAGTAAGTTGAGGCTGCAATGAGCTGTGATCATGCCATTGCACTCCAGCCTGGGTGACAAAGTGAGGCCCTGTCTCAAAACCAAACAAAACAACAAAAAATTTTTTAATCAAAAAAAAAAAAAAAAAAGGAGGGGGGGGCTAGGATGCTATAATTACATAATACTGAGTGCATAAAAATTTTTAAAATTATCAAGAATCCTTTAGCCATTATATGACAAATGAATTATAAATGCCATAATATGAGCACTAATAATTTTAAGCAAGTATAGGAATATCATCTAAATGTCCCAAAAACCGTTAGGAAACTAAAACACTATCAAGTAACATTCAACTTACTTAAAAAACTTTCTTCTGTTCATAAACACTATAGTAAGGACTTAATGTCTTTTTTGTTGTTCTTTTTGTTTTTGAGACAGTGTCTCACTCTGTCACCCAGGCTGGAGTGGAGTGGAGTGATCCTCAGCTGGGACTACAGGTACATGCCACTATGCCTGGCTAAGTTTTCTTTCTTTCTTTCTTTGCTTTTCTGTCTTTCCTTTCCCTCCCTCCCCTTTCTTCCTTCCTTCTTTTCTCTTTTTTTTTTGGAAAAAATGGGGTTTTACCATGTTGCCCAGATTGGTCTTAAACTCCTAGGTTCAAACAATCCTCCAGCACTGGCCTCCTAAAGCACTGGGATTACAGGCATAAGCCACCATGCCTGGCCCCTAGTGTCTTTTATTTTCAAGAATGTACAGATCCATCTACAGAGAAGTAACACAATTAGAAAATGTTGTTTCCAACAAGGTCTTTGAGCTCCACATAATCTATATCTAAGATAACACCTTAACACATCTAATCTGCCTTTGACATGTTCAATTAGGGCTTTTGTACACTGGCTGGCCAAACATCTTGAGCTACCTCATATGGTTTTTAGAAGTATCACCACCTATGGGCCGGGTGCGGTGACTCACGCCTGTAATCCCAGCACTTTGGGAGGCCGAGGCAGGAGGATCACGAGGTCAAGAGATCGAGACCATCCTGGTCAACGAGGTGAAACACTGTCTTTACTAAAAATACAAAAAATTAGCTGGGCATGGTGGTGCGCACCTGTAGTCCCAGCTATTCAGGAGGCTGAGGCAGGAGAACTGCTTGAACCCAGGATGTGGAGGTTGCGGTGAGCCGAGATTGCACCATTGCACTCCAGCCTGGGTAACAAGAGCGGAACTCCATCTCCAAAAAAAGAGAAGTATTACCACCTTTGTAGGATGGCAATATTTAGGTCCTGTCACCAAATCTAAGATGCTGTGGATTTTTGGTAAGTGATCCTAAGATACTAGTGAATACATGAGGTTAAAATACAAAAGATGTTGTGAGTTTGAATCGAGGAATACTGTATCAAAACACAGTTGTATTTACCTTTCTATTTCACAAATACTGAGAATGTAGAAAAATCATTAAAAAACAAAGGATGAATATTAATATGCGGTTCTCAATAAACAGTATTTTTAGAGTGAACATAAAAACAAAACCAATTAATCTTAAAACTTAATTGGAATCTCAATAACATACCTTTTGCCTATGTTCAACTCTGAAGGAAAAACTATTTATAAAATGCATAAGCTATATTGTTAAACAATGTCTGAAATCTGACCAGGTACTATAATAGATTTTATAATTTAGGATTGTGGGAGAGGAAAGCCTTTATATATAATCTATTAGGTCTACTGAGGCTGGCTTTCATTCAACTTTGTACATACTATCTACCTAAAAGGCTACATTCTCTGGCAGTGATATTATAGATACAAAATCACTTAGTTGGGCTTACAGCAGACTAAAGAAAACTGTAGATTTTCTTAATTCTAACATGGTATCAAATGAAAAGCAGCCTCTTGCAAGGAAATGTGGGGAACCAACTATATCATTACCATCTTCAGATTTTCCAGACTTACTTGTCTTCCCCTAGCACCACACCAAATCCAGCATGGGAGACTCGAGTTACTTTAGGGTCATACCAACCAATCATTTGAGCAGCAGCAAATATTGTCTGGAAGTGCACAGACTACAAATCAACAGAAACAGAAAGTTACTTGCTAGTCTTTTTATTTATTTATTATTTATTTATTTTTATTTTTTAAAGACGGAGTTTCACCATGTTGGTCAGACTGGTCTAGAACTCCTGACCTCTGGTGATCCGCCTGCCTTGGCCTCCCAGAGTGCTGGGATTACAGGCGTGAGCCACCACGCCCGGCCCAGTCTTCTTAAAAGAAAAAAAAAAAGACTCGAGACTCTTTGCTTAGGAATAGATTTGTAAAATTCAAACTGCTCAAAAATCTTGAGACAAGTGTTACTATAAAAGCTCTTCTTTTATTCCCTATATATGAGAAACACTAAGAGCAACAGTTACACTTTGTACTATATTCAAAGGTTTTTAAAAGCAACTGAATTAAGGGCAGGTTCACATGCAAAAAGTTCAATTACATTTTAGGTCTCACAACAACCCAACCTCCTCTGAACCTCAGCAATTGACAGGAACAACTGCTGAGGTTCAGAGGAGTAACAACCTTCTCCAGTTTGTGGAGGCAAGCTGGAAAACTGGGAAGCGTCCAGTTTGTCTGGGTCCAAACCCTCTTCCTTCTTCTATGTTATACTGATGTTCTGAATCTTAGTCTTCTGGGAAAAGTTATAGCCATCCAGCATCAAATGCTACCAACCTCACCATACTGGTTTGCTTCCAATCAGACAATATAAAACACATACAAATATATAAACTCACTTGCCCACTGTCCACCACATAGATAATCATATCTGCTTTTTCCTCAAATAGTCTTTGTTTAATAGCAGCCAGGTCCGATGTATCATAGGTATAACCTCCATCTGATTTTACTATGGTTAGTGGTATGGAACACCCTGGGACAAACACAATCTTTCTGCCATCATCCACCTGCACAAATCCTACGGGGTTAGAAAAAACTTCATTAATAAAGTTAAAAGAACCCTGAAGGAAAATGAATGCTTAGACATTCTACTATGTAAATATTTAGTTATTCGAAGAATATTTTAAAATATATTTATTAGAGAGGTAAAGAAATCACGTAATTTTTTCCTCACCAAGATCTACTAGAAGCCTTGGAAAATGTTAACCATCAAGGTCGCCTGGACACTCAGGGTGCTATCAGAGCACGAGTCAGATGTTCTGGCAGTTTTCGAGACTTACACTAAACTTGGCTCCCAAATTCTTTCTTTTTGACACACAGTCTCAATATGTTGCCCAGGCCAGTCTCAAACTCCTGGGCTCAAGTGATTCTCCTGCCTCAGCCTCCCCAAGTCTTCGATTACAGGTGTGAGCCACCGTGCCTGACCTCCCAAACTCTTTAGTTGGAGCCCATCAGTTCATTAGGCCCAGAACATGAAAACCTGTGTATTGCTTTCAAGCTGGAGCCATAACCTTCCTCTTGGAGAAAGATGCAATCCTTATACTGATTTCTAACAATGTGCTAAAGAGTAGTTGACACCATTTTCAGGTCCAGGAAACAAACACCACAGGATTTAGCATTTGGAATGAGAAGTGCAAAGAAAAATGAAATCCATGTTCATACACTCATGATGAAAAAGGTGAAATTCTTGGATGCAAGATGTACAGGAAGAACATGGTAACAGCAGCAGCTATGCAGGAGTGCTACTATATGCCAAGTACTACACTAAGTCCTGAAATTTATCCTTCGAAATAACCCTATGTAGGAAATAACTCTATGCTTTCTTACAGTTTAGAAAATTGAGACTTGGTAATATAAAGGCAGTATAAAATAGTAGTTAAAAACATAAGCTTTGTTTCTCTGATAATGCTTGTAAAAAGAAAAAAAAAAACCATAAGCTTTGAAGACAGACTGGCTATGTTTGAATTTCAGATAATCACTTATTAGCTATGTGACCCTGGGAAGTTACTAACCTCTCTGTGCCTATTTTCTCATAAAATAAACATTGAAAAATTGCATTAATTTATTTTTTTGAGACAGGGCCTTGCTCTGTCACCCAGGCTGGAGTGCAGTGGTGTGAACGTGCTCACTCCTAGACCTCCTGGGCTCAAGCAATCCTCCTGCCTCAGTCTCTCGTGAAGCTGGGACCATAGACGTGCACAATCATGCCTGAGTAATTTTTAAATTTTTTTATTTGTAGAGACAGGGTCTCACATGTTGCCCAGGCTAGCATCAAACTCCTGGGCTCAAGTGATCCTCCTACCTCAGCCTCTCAAAGTGCTAAGATTATAGGTATGAGCTGCTATGCTCAACCTCTCTCTCTCTCTCTTTTTTTTTTTTTTTCCCAGAGACAGGGACTCCTTCTGTTGCCCAGGCTGTAGTACAGTGGTGAGAGCATAGCTCACTGTATCTCAAACTCCTGGCCTCAGCCTCTCCAACGCTGTGATTGTCTTCCTGCTTCAGCCTCTACAATGCTGTGATTACAGGTGTGAGCTACTGAACCCAGCTAAAATTTTATCATCTTAAAAAGTATGGTCACTAGGCCCTAGACTATGATTAAAATATGATTCTCATTCAATGAACCAAGTTTCCTTAGATATATGGTTGATTTCAGATCTGAGGCAGGAAATGTACAAAATGGGCCTGGAATATGATATACCAGAAAGCAATTAAATAACTATCCAAGGAATTGAGAAAAGCAAAACCACAACCAAAAATAAGAAAGGCAATTTGAGGTTACTTAGCCAAAATGGGACAATTTGAGCATTACAAAAATTATAAAGACAACTGATTGAAAAATATAAAACACATTAAAAGCCCACTACAATAATGTTAAAAATCAAGCAACGCACTTTGAGATGCTAAGAAACACACTTTTTTTTTTGAGACAGAGTTTCGCTATTGTTACACAGACTGGAGTGCAATGGCACGATCTCAGCTCACTGCAACCTCCTCCGCCTTCTGGGTTCAAGCAATTCTCCTGCCTCAGCCTCCCAAGTAGCTGGGACTACAGGCGCGCACCACCATGGCCAGCTAATTTTTGTATTTTTAGTAGAGATGGGGTTTCATCTCATTGACCAGGATGGTCTCCATCTCTTGACCTCATGATCCACCCGCCTCGGCCTCCTAAAGTGCTCGGATTATAGGCGTGAGCCACCGCGCCTGGCCAGAAACACACTTATTATTCTGCAATTGATTAAAAAAAAAAAATTAAGTACTTCTACTACCCTACCTATCTTATATTCCCGAAGATAACCAAAATAATTAGTAACAAAGTCCAGTATACGAGAACAAATGGAGAAAGAATGACAAAACAATACCATTTTCCAACCTCCAATGAAGTGGTGGAACCAAGTCACGGTCATAAATAGCTGACAAAACCAATAGGGAAAAGTCTGATAGGGAAATGTATGGATAGATCTGGCTGACAATACTTGAACTCACTAATCAATCTTAATATGACAAAAAGAGAGACAACTAGACACTGTCTCATTGCCTGTGTTTTTGCAACAAAAAGAAAACA